CACTCTACTGAGGTTGAAAGAGTAACATTCTGTCTCAAAAAACCCCCTAAAACCAAACATTAATTATCAGAAGCAGAATGAAGTGAAGGTGTAATGGCTCTATGGGTGTGAGGGATGTGGAGAACTCTTTGCTGTCAGTCTTAGTGCAGATTACTTCATGTCTGGCCACCAAAATGTGTGGGGACTTCTCCCTGCAGACAAGTAGTTCTCTTTACTTCATGTCCATTCTGCCCCTGCCTACCTGTGTGGGGCGAGGGCTCAACCCCATGGGACTGCCCACTGCAGGTGCAGCTGCAAGGCCCGGCTGTGGCCTGTGCTTCTGATCCATGTCCTCGGCTCTGACTGATTTTCTAGAGTGGCTTGAGGGACTCAGTGAAACAGTTCCCTCATGTTTACTCACTTGTCACAAAGTGGGTCACAAAGGACGCCAAAGGTGCACAGGGCAGAGCCCCCATGCTGCAGGGCCACCCTCAGGACCCCCATGCTCCAGCCGTCTGGCAGCCCAGGGACTTGTATGGAGACTGATTGAACCACTGGCCACTGGTGAGCCGCTTGCCCTGCAGCCCCCCTCAAGGTTAGGGGTGAGGCTGGAAGTCCCACCTCTGATCACAGGGCAGCCTCCCCTCAGGCTGACCAGGGGCCACCAGGAGTCTCCTCATTAGAACAAAAGATACTTCCATCATTCAGCAAATTCCAGAGGATTGGGAGTCATGGGGCAGCTGATCCTGTCACTCAGGAAATTGCGAAGGTCTTAGGACCTTATCATCAAGTGGAGGCAGCGGCCCAGATATGTATCTCTTATTATATCGCTTTGCACTGACTCTGAGCAGAAGATGCCTCTGGGAAGATGCACCAGTGACCTTCACAGATGGCCTCTGAAGACCACAGCAGAGGGCCCGTCAGGGTAGGCCTCCTGGGTACATGACCCTGTGGTTATAGCATGACCACTTGGCACCTAAGCGTCTGGAACATCTGGCATGAACCTGTGGGGTGTGCAGTGGGGGAGACCACTCAGAGCATGGGGTATAGGAGACTGAGCACCAGGCTTGTAGAAGTGGTGACTGGTTCCTGAGGGAGGCGCGGGGAGCAGGACAGTCTCCTAGCTAGCGAGGAGATGTTTTATAGCCTGGAGAAAGCCTCAAGCAACTACCTGCATTAATGAGATAAGATAGGTGGATCATCAGCAAGCAGGTGTTGGACCTTGGATATCTGTGGGGCAACAGGGTGGGAGTCAAGCCCATGGGGAAAGAGCACGATCATTAAGCACGCAATCCTTGTGTATGTGCCCCCCACACCTGTTGTATAATGCTTCAATAAAAGGCCTTGGCAGAGGTTATATGGGGCTTTTCCCTGCAATATGGGAAGCCCACCTCTTATAAGCAAGTGCTTTTAATCTGTGTCCTGTCAGTTTTATTTGTGCGGTGACGGGGTGCCATAGCACACACCAACAATGGAGGCTCAAAATAAAAGGTAGGGCACCAACAGTCAAGAATTTAACAGCTATACTTCTTCAAATGTTGTGTGTACCTTACCACAGTACAACAAAATCTTGGTGTGGAAAAAGCCACCTCCCAGCCCACAGACCCCCAGAGGCTGAGCAGCCTGGGTGTCTGAGCTGCAGGGCATGCAGGTGCTTTCTGGTTGAGACAAAAGACAGAGCTGGTTCCTGTTTGGGAACAGGAGTCCCAAAGTGGGTAGTGGGAAGGAGTAGAATGTGGCCTGGAGTTTTCTTATTTATAACAGAGGAGCAGGAGGCAGGAGACCCCGGTGTGGGATAGTCCCACATGGGTGGGGGCTCCTCCCTGTGCCCAGAGCTCATGGGACCCACCTTCCTGAAGAAAGACCACGTCCTCACAGGTCTGGAGAGTTGGAAGAAGTGCCAGTCAGCAATGCTGGGCCTGTGGCCCGTGGCCCCTGGGTCCCAGGCACCCAGTCAGCCGCAGATGTACCTGCCTCACCTGTCTGCATAGGAGGAAGAACATGAGGCCCTGTGCCCTTCAGGACTAGGATGCTGAAACCTACTGAGGGAATAGGATGCCAACTTCAGCACTCTAGTTTTGAAGGGCCAGTGCCACAATGCCAAACCGGGGCTGTGGCCCACAGGCAGCAGACAACTTCTATATGGCAGTGGGAGGACAAGTTGGTCAGCCAAAAAGTGTCAAATGGCAAAAGTTACCATGTTTACATTTTAAAAACGATGCCAAGAAAATCTGTCTGGGCATGGAATTCCTGGCGCACCTTAGATCCTGGTTTTATAGAGAGAGACCTGGCCTAGGAAATCTGTTCACAGCAGGGTGATTGCACCCGGAGTCTGCTTTTGCCTGCAAGGTTGACAGCTTTTGGAATTTTTCTTTTTTTTTGAGACACAGCCTCAAGCTGTCCCCCTGGGTAGAGTACCGTGGCATTACAGCTCACAGCAACCTCCAACTCCTGGGCTCAAGCGAGTCTCTTGCCTCCACCTCCCAAGTAGCTGGGACCACAGGCACCCCCCACAACGCCCGGCTATTTTTTGGTTGCAGCCCTCATTGTTGTTTGGCGGGTCCGGGCTGGGGATTCGAACCCGCCACCTTAGGTGTACGTGGCTGGTGCCTTAGCCGGTTGAGCTATAGGCGCCGAGCCTAGAATTTTTCTTTTTCTTTTTTTTCTTTTTTTGCTCTAGAGAGTCCAAACAGTGGTGTTATCCCAGCTCTCTTCAGCCTCAAACTCTCAAACTCCTGGGCTCAAGCGATCCTCCTGTCTCAGCCTGTCTAGTAACTGGGACAACAGGTGCCCACCATGATGCCCAGCTAATTTTTCTTGCTATGTTGCCTGGACTGGTATAGAACTCCTGGCCTCAAGCAATCCTCCCTACCTTGGCCTCCCAGAGTGCTGGGATTATCGGCCACTGACCCTGGCCTGGGTCTCTCATTCTGGCTGTCTTCAGTTCACACCAGACCTGCTCTCTGTCCTCTGCTCCTTTAATCTGGACCACTGGTTGTGCAGTGAAGATGCACTGGGATGCTTGTGTGCACTGGCTGGGGCCGGGGACAAGAGCTGTTGTGGGCACCCATGCCCCCTTCTCCCATGTAGAGACTTGCCCATCCCAGAGCTAGAGCAGATCAGAGGGCAGAGAAACCAAGATTACGACACAAAAGTGTCCCGTTTGGAATGTATACACCTGCTGAAATGGGGCGGGTGCTAATTCCGCCTGCTGCCTCCCGGTCTCAGCCCGGACAAGGGCCATCTGAAGCTTTGACAACAGCAAAACTGCCTGTGCTGTTCTGCCCACAGCCTCAGCCCTGAGTCTGCACAGGCGCTGCTCTGTCCTGCTGGCCCGTCAATCACAGGCAGAGGGGAGGCATAGCTACACCTCACACAGAATCGTGACCTGTGGGTGTAAGCCCCCTTCCTTCTGGGGAGGAGGACCAGACCCTGTGCTCTCTCCCTGTTCAGTTCCTCCATCAGACAGGCTGAGGGCCTCCTCGGGCAGGGGGCAGCAATGAGTCAACCAGATCAGGCACTGGATTAAAAATTCCTTTTTTGGAAGTCAGGCAGTCACTTCCCAGGACAGTGGAATACTTAGGAAGTGACGCAGCCCAGATGAGAGAAGAGGGAGCCACCGGCACCGCCCAGCTCACTGTCTCTCCCCGGGCCCCTCCGCTTGCCAACCTGGAGGGCAGGACCCGGGGCAAGCTCCTTATATAGGAAAGGTTTAGGGATGGCCTCTGAGCGATCTTTGTGACGTTCCCTCTACCGACAGCAGTAGCTCATTCCAGAAACAGATGGGGAAGGGATAATAATAAGTGTCTAGAGTTTGGGGATGTTAAAAAAAAAAAAAAAGAGGCTGTGTTTTGAGGAATGCTCAAACCCTCCTGCAGGCTGCCAGTTCTGACCCGTTGGGAGAGCTGGTCAGCCAGGGAGATGGTGGCTCCATGATGAAGGGTGGAAAGCCCCTGGCCAGGGCCACCAGAAGGGGACGGGGTGTAGATGTTCTTTATCTCCTGGGCTCTGGGACACTGGCCCAAGGTAGTGGGTAGGGAAGGATAAAGGTTTCTAAGGCAACATTCCTTAAAAGAAAAAGATTTGACTCCCAGCATCTGTTCCCCCCTATTCTAGGAACTGCACCTCATTTCCCTTGGGGGCCCACTTCCCCCACAATCTGTACAGTTGGGGCTTATCCTTCCCTGTCTCCAGACCTAGTCTGGCAGAGCCTCCCGGCTGCTGTGGCCAGCAGATAGAGTGGGACCAGGAGCACAGGTGAGGATGAGATGTAGCCCAGAGTGTTCTCCCACAGGGGCTGGGGTTGATACTTGCTTCCATGTGAGGAGGGTCCCTTCAAAGGTGAAGCTGGCTCAAAGAAAAGCAGGCCCAGGAGGTGGGGGCCAGACTCCCACAGCCTGAGCACCAGCGCTGTGTCCATGAGGCATTTTAAGCTCAGCCTGGGAGGCAGGTTCCAAGCAGTTTGGGTTGGTTTTCTTAAGAAATAGCCTGCAGTTGTCCTTGAAGACCTCCAAAATTTGGGGCCTGCAGCTTGAGGGCCATTTTGGGCTCATTAAAGATCCACATGAGACACACACAACATTTGACAGTTCTTTTTTAGAGACAGTCTCATTCTGTCACCCTCAGAAGAGTGCAGTGGCATCATAGCTCACAGCAACCTCAAACTCTTGGGTTCAAGAGATCCTCTTGCCTCAGGGCTCCTGAGTAGCTGGGACTCCAGGCCTGCTCCATAACTCCCAGATAATTTTTCTATTTTTAGTAGAGACAGGGTCTTGCTCTTGCTCAGGCTAGTCTCAAACTCCTGAGCTCAAGGGATCTTCCTGCCTCAGCCTCCCAGAGTGCTGGGATCACAGGAGCCACTGTGCCAGGCCAGTGTAAATATACTAAAGACTTAGAAGTGATTATAGCTGTTAGCAGAACATTTCTCACTAAGATTTGCTTCTATATAAATGTACTATTTGCTTTTATGAGAGATGAAAGAGACACAAGTATTACAGGTCTTAAGAGTGATTCTTATGATTTGTTCATTGCAGGAGGTGAGGAGCCAAGTAGGCCTGATGCACCTGCAGGACCCACGAGCTGCTTGGTGCCCCCCAGCCTCAGGGCCCCCATCCCCCCTCCCCAGCAGGGTACCATGTGGCACAGTCCCACATCAGATGCCACCAAGCCCTTTCCTTCAGTGGCACGCCACCCCTGAGCAGAGTGACCAGCAACCTACAAGTGCATGCGGGTCAGAACATTAAGGCATCTTCAAAACTTGTCACTCAAGACAGTATTTGGGTTAGGACACAGGCTGAGCCCTCCGCAGCCTAAGACCTTTTCCAGATGTGAACTGGCCCCAGGCATGTGACTGGAGGGAGGGCCGTTCTTCTGTGTCACCCAGCACTCGGAGCATGTATGTACCCATGTAGATGAGGAAGTGTCCGGTCACCTGGGCAGTGTGGGACAGGAACCGCAGCAGGCTCCTACAATAGGGAAACAGGGTGTCAGGCTTGGGATCCCAGCAAGCATGGGATTGTGCGCTCCCCAGCACGCGCCCCACCTACAAGTCTGGGGCTGGCGGGCACTGGGCTCCCACTAGCTGCTTGTGCAGATGGCAGATGGCCCGCCCTGCCTGGGAGGATGCAGAGCTTGTGTTCAGCTTGTTACTGACTTCCACCTGGTCAGATTGAAGGAAATTCTTAGCAAGAACTGCAAGTGTGACTCTATGATCCAGTTTGTCAAAGATGGTTAGGATAGTCCAACTTGTTCCCAAAGTTATAGGAGGGACAATTTTGCCCAGTGCTGGGTGAGTTCTAAGTTCTTTTTTTTTTTT